CCAAACATGTGTGTTTTATAGCCTCTTTGAAAAGCAAAGTCGTGACCATAAACCGAAGTGATCAAATACCCATTCCCGACTACTTTCGCCGGGGGCAGGGCATTGATCATTTCCCGTCTATAACCTTGAAGTAGTGTCATATTACTTCGATCGGCTGACGGTATGGTTTGTCATGACTTGGTTATTCAAATCCTCCGAAAATGTTGTTTTTATTTGGTACGCATCAAAGACCGGATTTATGATGAAAATCGGGGATTTGATGTACCGCAACAAGTTTTGGGGGAAGAAGCATGCCGCCGCACTCATTTTTGACGTGCAGCCCACGGGCAATGCCCGGTGTGGACGCTGCATATCAACCACGGTGCGGAAGACACGGTCAAGAAACTCATCCGCGCGAGAAGGATCTTTGACGCGGAGAAAGAAGGAACTGTCCGCAGAAGCGATCGCAGTGGACCATCGCCCCCAATCCGCCCGCAGATCCCCAGCAAAAAGTACGTTACGGGCATCTTTCAGCCCTCTTGCCATCAAATCTCTGACGACAGCGTCGAAGATCCTCGCCCCCCTGTAGTAGACACGAGTCACGGGGTCCGGTTTGTCTGCATTTCCAGCAAACGAACCCCCGTCACAATATCTAACGAACACTCTATTCCAGTTGTAGAAATAGCTCGTGTTCGACAAAGGAGAAAGTACGTCCGTGAAGTTCGCAGGCTCCATGCGGCGGGAAGAACCAAGGTAGAAAGTCGCGCGTGCAGCGCAACTCTCCACGGGTTTCCTCCCGGGTAGTTGCATTGTGGTGTTCAAACACCACCCTCCTCCTTGAAGGAAAATGATCCAGTTCTTGACCCCGCCGCCCCTTCCGGCGGCCCACTGATACACAGGGGGGCTTCCGTCAAGACATACGGCGCCTTCGGCGACCGCACCCTTGACGACCGTTAGCGGAACGGAGTGAAGGTCGTCGCCGTCATTGGAGCCGCCGTTTGATGGTCGGACCATCATCATCACAACGAGAATAGAAAGAAGATGCACTGTGGTTGAGCAACGGAGAGTGATAGCCACCATTGTCAAGATATATAGAAAGAATTGCTTCTGTTTTTATGTTTTTCTTTCGTATGAAGATGAAGAGGAGAAGAAAGGGGAGGTGGTTTTATAGGAAGCAAAGGAATATTCCACACTAAAATATACTCTCTACTTAAAAAAATTGGGAAATAAGAGGTGTATATTTATGTTTGATTTTCCAAGTTTGTTAAGATGTGATGAATAGATTATTAATGAAAAAGTATAATGTAATAGGTAGAGTAAGGCTCCGTTCCGTTCAACTTATTTTTTTTGATCTGATTTGATTTTTTTGTAGTTTTGATCTGATTGGATCTGATCTGGTCTGATATGATTAGGTCTGATCTGATCTTATTGAATCTGATCTGATCTAATTTGATTAATTAGGATTTGATTTAAAATCCAAATCAATAATTTGATTTGACTTTATAATAACTTTAATTTTGAAAATTGTAATGATAATTCATATTATAATATGATCAATATTTTTTGTTTTATGATTATTTTTTAATGAAATAAAATTAGTTAATTCATATAACTAATTTATTTGTTTAATTTGAATTCTACTCGAATATTTTTGGGAAAGTGAAAAAAATTAAAAAGAAAGTGTTTTAAAAAACGGAGAGATACTTCCTTAGTTTCTTAAAAGAGCTTTCTATTTTGACTAATGAAATAAATGAAAAAGTATATATTTGTAGTTGCTTTTAAAATTATCTTTGATGTGATCGTAGAAGTAAGATATGATGGATAAATTATCAGTTAAAAAGTAATGATGTAATAGTTAGAGTAAAAAAATGTCAATGTAAAAATTATACTACCGAATTGCATTCACATAATTGATATTTGCACTATATAGCACTAAAACTTAAGTCATTTCTCTAAATAGCACTTAAATTGTTTTATTCCTTAAATAGACTTAATAATGTCCATAATGACCAGTGATGGTAAAAATTTACTTGAATAATGACTAATGGATAATGACTAAAAGTGATACATTGGGAAAAAAACACATGTAGTGCTATTTAGGGAAAGTCATTATGTTTTAGTGTTATTTACGTAAATTCCTCTTTATTATTTACTTGCTTTGACTAGTTATTTTTCAATTCAACTTAATTATTTAATGGTAAGTCAAAAAATTAAAATTAACTCTATATATTTTAAAATTACGCAAAAAATTTCATAAAACAAGATGACAAGGCTAATTTTTATTATTAATTTAACAATAAAAAAACTTAAACAAAATTTGATAATATGAATGCTACATGCACAAATGATTTTCGGACCGTCATAATGTAAATGAAATAAAAAGAGTAATTCCATAAATAGTCTCCAGTTATAAATCGTTTTCCATAGTTAGTCTTCACATATATCAAATATCAATAATTTAGTCCCTAATAATTATATTATTTTTTGCAAATGGTACTCTGTTAACATTCCCGTTAAGAACAAGAATAAAATTCTAAATTCACATTGCTCTCTCTCCTCAATTAAGCTTCTCACATCCTCTCGTACTCCTTCCCAAACTCGTTGAGTTTGAAGCTCTGAACGCATAATTGAAATCATCACTCCTCTTTCAATTATTCATCTTTTAGGTGGAACCCAAAATCCAAACTAGTAACCTTCATGAATAAGTTTAATGAGCCAGTCTCAAAAAATCACAAATAAAGCAAACCTTGAGAATTCATTTTGAGAGTAGACTCTGATGTACGAATGATAGGGGTGAGCGTGGTATGGTATTGTACAATATTTAGCTCGTACTGATATCGTATCAAATATTTCAGTTCGGTATATGATTTTACGTTATACCGATCCCGGTCCAGAAGTATCGGTGCGGTATGGTTTGTGATGGTTCGGTATTGGTTTCGGTACAAATTGGTATTTTTATTTTTGTAATAAAACCTTTTATTTTTGAAAAATCGAAAGTACATATAAATAAATAAAGCTAAAAATTTTGAAAATGAATAATAAAATGCAAGAAATGCTTATAAGTTAGTTTATATTTCACAAACTAAAGAGAACAAATGATAACAAAATATTATTTCAAATGTTTGTCAATATATACTCATCTACAAAAAATAAAAAACTCTATTTAAAATACAATTTACACATAATGAAATTAAGCTAAATTGTCAAAATAAATTTAGAATTTAATGAAAAAATATAATCGAAATAGTATTATTTTTATAATATATTAGTATATATATGTTCGGTTCAGAATTTTTGATATGGGAAGTAGGCTCGTACTATTTCCAAATATCGGATCGATCGTTTGGTTCGGTACAATTTGATTATTTACAATACTTTTTTGATTTAGTATTTTTCATTTTGATATTTTTGATTTTTTCGAAAAAATTTCATGATCGATTCGATACTTCACACCCCTAAAGAATGATACTCCCTCCGTCCTATAATGATCTTCCCAGAGCACTATTCTAACTTCACGGGAATTTATATTTATTTGTGTTTTTTCATGGCCTATATGATAAAATCAAATATTCTTGTCACCACTTGTTTTGTTGAACTTTTGGTATAGTTTTTAAATATGTATGTTTTATTTTTTATTTCTATATAAATATTTAAATAAAATAGATTGAAAAAACTTGAGATTTTTCTTTGTTTTGCGAACCGGAAAGATCATTATAGGACGGAGGGAGTATCTCATTCATATCTAGACAATTCATTTTCTTACCCATAAACTAAAGAAGAAGAACGCAATGCATTAATGATGGGTGAATGCGAGTACGAACTCCTCCATTAATTATGGCCCACGAGGCCATCGACCCCAAAAGGGTATTTTTACCCATATGTATGTTTCTTTTTTTAATTAGCCTGTTGTGCTATTTTAGACACTCACCCTTTCTTTTGTTTAAAAATTTATGTTCAAGTTTAGACCATCTTCAACGCCGATGTTTTTATGGAGTGTGATTCTTAAGTCTTAACAATGCTAATATGCAATTATTCTGGAATAAAAATATAGAAATCTTATTTTTATATTCCCCGTTCTAAAAAAAGGTTTCTAGTTTGATTAAGTGTAAAAATAAGGAAGTGTTAAATTGTAGTTGACTTTCAATTTTGCCTTTAATGTAATGAATAAAACTAAGATGTGATAGATCGATTATTAGAGAAAAAGTATGATGTGATAGGTAGGGTATGAAAAAGTAAGGGTAAAAGTGATTTTTTAATAGAAAGTGGAAATATTTTGTTGGAAGTGAAAATTTTGAAAGAAGAAGTGAAAATTTCAAACTCTAATTACTCTCACTTTAAAGTCAATTATGCTTACGAGGTGCAATTGACGTAGGTGGGGGGATGAGTTTGGGTCGGGACTTGGTGGGGGGGTTTACCGGGGGGTTAGGGGGGTAGGAATCATTAATTTTATGAACGGAGCTCCGTAGGGGGGCAGTGGCTTCCGTGACCACTGGAATCCAGTGGCCATGGAACCGGGCCGTAAAGCCAATATTACTCTCACTTTATAGCATAGCGTTTAAATTCGATAAATTTTAAACTCTAATTACTCTCACTTTATATTGAATATTAGTCTAATGAAATACAATTTAAAAAGTTCTCATTACGCTAAATCTAATAAAGTCAATATTATGTAAAAGTACATTACAGTTTTTATTAAATTGAAGCTCAAAATTTAGTCAGTTTGACTCGAAAAGTCAAACTGGACAAATACACTGGGACGGAGGCATTAATTATTTTTCTAAATATAAACAATTATTTTTTTTCTATGTGTCTGAAAAAATATGCGGTCAAAATAATGTCATTAAAATAGCATAGCGTGGTTTGGTTATTTGATTATTGATGAAAGAGTTTTAACGAAAGTCAACCTTTTCGAAAAGGTTCAATTTTCTCTAAGTGTCGTGTATCTCGATGAGTGGACGACGAAGAGCAATAGCGTGAAATTCGCTAAAATCGCAACGTAGATGTGAACCGACTTCCTCGAGCGATTTGGAAAGGAAAGTGCTCCCCGACATACTTTGAGGACTTGTACTTCCGCAATCTCATGTCCCATTATAATTTTTCCTATTCAGCCCATTAAAATGACATAACGAGACGTAACAACTAAATATTTGAGTAATATTGGTGGGCATTGCGCTATTGACAAGGCAAGGAGTGGCAAGGGGATAAGACCTTTGATTCCTGGCAACTGTGATGGCTGAGTCAACTTTGCTAAGCATATGGCTTCCACAAGTACCAAGTGCATGCTCCACTTTTTACGATGAATCTACGATTAAAATTCCATTTATTTTTTCTCAATGATCCTCGTAGATGAGGCTCTATCTTTTTAAATATCTGAATAATGAATCACATTAACAAACGAGTAGTATTTAAATAGTGTTTTTTTAAACACATGGTATGTGTATCCTTCAAAAGAATTTAAATTTTACCAAAGGAAAATGCTAGAGTCACAAACATATAGTTCACAAACTTCACAAACCCGCCTTTTGTGGATTTTAAAAGAAAATATCATTTATTATTTGACTGCATCTTATTTCTAGGAAAGTGTTAAAAAGGTAAGTTTGTAAATTTTGTGAACTGTTTGTTTGTGACTCTAGCATTACTCTTCACCAAATCCTTTTTGAAACCAATAACAATAGAGTTTGATGGTGTAAATATAGCTGGGTGGGTTAACCGGGTTTGACCTGGACACACTCGACCCGTAATATAAAACACACAACAAGAACACAAAGTATGACCTAGACCGGGTAAATCTTCTCAGTCCGAATTATATTTCTTACTCTATCTCAAGAGTGAACTTTAGTGAGAGAAAAATTGGATTCCCTCCTCTATCCAATATCATCATATTTATAGAGGAGGATTTGTGACCTTCCCCTGTTCATCCATGGACAAAATAGGAAGCCCGTGGGAAGGTCACTGTACATAATCAATCTACTATTCAATCAATGAATTTAGCAACTACAAGCCAAGACATGTACTGTTCAATCAAAGACTATAAATGGATATTCTCAATCCAATCAGCCCTACAAAGTGACAAATGTTCCTTTCACTATTTGCCTCGTGAAGGCCGAACGACGGGGTGGTCCCCTGGCCTTTGACGTTGATTGCCATTCCCAAGTGACGCAACCTTACCGGTCATCTTTCCTCCAAGGTTGTCCGGTCATTTCTTGAGTTCGACCCGTCTCTTTGGTCCTCTGGACTATCCTTCGTAACATGAAGTGACGAATTGGCTAACACCCAAAATGTGACCGGTCACTTTTTTAGTGGAAGTTATCGGTCAACTTTTGACCCATCCCAATTGAAGAGTTAACCTCATTTGGTGATTGATAAAAGTGACCGATCATATCTTGACCTGTCCCTTTCGGTTATCCGGGTCGGGTATAAGGATATACCCATCAAGAAGTCCTCCACTTACCCGCCTTATGAGGATATCATCAAGGGCGGAAAGTAAACTTGTGTATCACACTTGAAATCATAAAGTCACCCTCGCTGACCAATCTTTTTGCATCACTAAGTCTCTTCACCTGACCTGTCCTTTTGAATTATCGAGTCTTTCCCTTTCAGACCTGCCCTTCTTTGAAACCATCAAGTCATTCTCGTTGACCTATCTTTTTGGATCATCAAGCCTTTCTTTTTCAGACCTGTGCTTCTTTGAATTATCAGGCCTTTCCTTTCAGACCTGTCCTTTTTGAAATCACAATCATCCCCGTCGACCTGTCCTTTTCTGGAATCAATCTCAGGATCAGACCTGTCCATTTTTGGATCATACCCGACTGAATTACCAAGTCTTTCTATAAGACCTACCCTCCTTTGGATCATCAAGATTTTCTGACCTGTCCCTCTTTTGAATCTTCAAGTAGTATATTCAGACCTGTCCATTTTGAATCAACAAGCCATCCCATGACCTGTCATTTTTTGGATCCGTCACTGACCTGCCATCAATGACCTGTCCTTATGGATCTGTAGTAGCCCAAACGTTGGCTCTGGCTTTTGGATTTTGGCATTTCCCCTCAAAACCTTTCACCTTCCACATTCAAAATTCAAATTTTCCCCCTCATCATTACCTTATCCACGTGTCAGCCCCTCAGCCTCCCACCTGTCGCCTCGAACTCCAACCCTCCTCTCTCTCTCCCCTATATATACCCATCAGAGTTCAATTATGACCATTAACACCCCAAACTTTATAAACTTAAAAAACCATAATAACGATCACTACAATTCACACTACACAAAGAACAAATAGCGCACTAAAATCTCCGCACGGAGACATGGGAGTATATATATACTATCTCCCTCCACAAATAAACTTTCCTGCGTTACAATATTTGACTTAAGTTATTTTTAAAGTATTTTATATGAAAAATGGTGTGAAATTTAAAAAAAAAGTTACATATTAAAAAATTATATCAAAAAATCTACAAAACTAGAGGTGACATGACTATATTATTTTATCAAATAGGTAACGAAAATAGGCCAACAAAGGGTCTGTTTGGGAATACCATTAGCTATTAGCGTTAGCGTTTGGAAAAAGCTATCTACGTGCAACGTTTAGCGGCAGCGTTTTCAAAGTAATCTGCACCGTTGAAATTTTATCCAAAACGATGACGCTAATCTCTAACGCTATTCCCAAAGAGGCCTAAAGTGAATAAAGTTTGATCTTATAAATAGTAAACGGAAGTTTAATTGTGGATAAAGGGAGTGTGTGTGTGTGTGTGTATGTGTGTGTGTCTATATATATATATATATATATATATATATATATATATATATATATATATATATATAGTTTAAAATTAAAGTGGGGAAAAGCCGCAAATTCAAGTAACTAAAAATGTATATATTTATTTAAAATAAATCATGAGGAGGTGGGAATGGAATATTGAATATTGCACATCGAACATTATAATCCATGCAGTGAGTGTGAAGTGTTTCATCACAATACGGTTCGCATAAACTTTCCAAGTAACTGTAGTCATCCGGATCTTCATTTCGTGCTCTATTGTCGTAATAGCACTTCTCCATGCATGCACAATACACGTGTATTTGGGGGCAACTTGTTGGCATTTTTCCATGCACCAATGATGATTGTAAAATAAAAATGTATGCCAAAATGATAATAACGAGCTTTTTATAAGGAAATCTCTTGTGCTTCCTGAAAGCGTTAAACATTGTTTAGAAGAAGTAACAATATATATATATATATATATATATATATATATATATATATATATATATATATATATATATATATATATATATATATATATATATATATATATATATATATATATATATATATATATATATATATATAGGGGTAAATTTCACCAATGGTATCTGAACTTTAGCTATAATTTTGAAGTGGTACCTGAACTTCAAATCCTTTCACAAAAATCTCCCAACTTACACAATCCTTTCACTAATGAGCCATTAGCCCGTTTCTAGGTCAAATGCCGGTTACCATCCGACGTGGGTGCTGATATGGATGCTGAATCACTTCCCCTACCTCACTCTCTTTCCTCATTAACTGCTCTGGTACGAATCTGACACCAAAGATTTGAATCGTCTCTTATGCGAAAAACCCAACGCGCGAGAAATTGCAGCGGAAAAGCTCTAGGAGCTGCCACCAAACGAGTTTTAGACTTAGAGAAGAAGAGGTCAGGTGACTAATCCAAACTTTAAACCTAATCTGCTTCCCACTTGGACTGTTGCGTTCAACACTCTCACTTCCGCTAAACGTCATTGCGCTTCTTCAGAACATTTGAGGTATTTGCATGCGTTTACTTTTTAATAGGATGAATGTTTGAATCATCGGAAGATATTTATTTTGTGTTATTTCAATTGCGTGCAGAGATATTAAAGCGATGAGGGATTCTGATGATAGTGAAGCGAGTTCAGATACCTTCATTCTCAGTGAAGAGAGCAGCGAAAACAATTGTGAGAGTGAAGGCGATTCACAGAGCGAGGTGATTGGGGTATATGATTTAATTGTGCATCATAGTGGGGTGTTAGGAGAATGTTCGTATTACGAGGGAAAACAGTTTCTGGTAGGGGATATAAATGGCAGGAGATTGACAATGAATACCCTAGATAGGTTGCTGGCCAGAAATGGAATTAAGGGATTATGTAGGTACCACTGGAGGGAACATAAAAAGCCATTTTTTGGGGGTCTGAACATTCTACAGTTTAATAAGGATGTTGCAAGAATGTCAAGGGCTGGGAGTCTTTACGGTTCAGTTCATTTATACATCGAGTACATAACAAAAGAAGAAATATTGAAGATAGGTAATGATCTGAAAAGTGCTCCCAAACCTCCTCCCAAACCTAGGCTTGTTTTACAGGAACTTGAGGATGACACATCAATACCTTCTCACACAATGGGGGCCAGAGGAAGTTCTGTGGGAAGTGTGTTAGCTATATGTTGGGTGGAGCAGGAACAGAGGTCTGAAAACATTATTGAGGGGATAAATGAAAGGGTAGATGAGATGGTTGAGGATGTATCTGCAGTTCCTCTTTCCACTGATGGAGTTGTCAATGATGTTGAGAACACAGTTGTGAATGATGATGATATCACTGCTTCCAATGAAGCACACAATGAAAGGGTTGACTGTGGAGATTATTTTGTTCAGATCCTGAATTCTGATGTGCCTTCTTCATCAAATGGGGGTGTAAATGAGAATTGGGACTTTGTTGTAGATAATATGGGGAATGATGCTGAGGAAGTGGATACCCCTGATGGGACTGAAAAAGACACCTCTGAGAGAGTTGAAGCTGCAGATGAAGTTCTGGTTGAGGATGATGATGAGGAAGTGGATACCCCTGATGGGACTGAGAAAGACACCTCTGGCAGAGTTATACCTGAAGCTGCAGATGAAGTTCCGGTTGAGGATGATGATGATGATCTATATGATGCTGACTATTCTGTAGAGGTAGGGGACGAGGACTTCTGTGCAAATACTGAAACTCATGTGGAATTCAAAGATGAAGGAAGAAGGCGTGGCAGGCCAAGGAACAAGCAAGATCAAAGTTCCAGTGAGCAAAATTTGCAATTTGAAATGCAAAGTGATTCCTCTGACTATGCTGAGTCAGATGAATTACTCACAGAATCAGATGAGGAAAATGCACAGAGGGAGAAGAGGTACCCTTCCTTTAATGCAAAAAGGGAAATGGGAAAGGGTGAATTTAAATTGGGAATGTTGTTTAAGAATGTTCAGGAGTTTAGGAGAGCTGTCAAGGAGTATGGAATCAGGTCAAGGTGGCAGATTAAACTTCGCAAAAATTGCAAGGACAAGGTTCAAGTGAAATGTGCTCAAGACTGTGGGTATTCAATCTTTGCATCTTGAGCTCACCCTAAGGACCCACTAGACCCCACCTTTCAAATAAAAACTGGGTGTTTTGTGCATAAATGCAAAAAGATGCACAAGAACAATCATTGCACCTCTTCATGGCTAGCTAGGAAGTACTTGGAGGATTTTAGGGTGAATCCAGCTTGGCAGTTGAGTCACTTAATTGCTAAAGTGGCCAGTGATGGGCAGTACAACATTAAATACATGAAGGCATGGAGAGCAAAAGATAGAGCCCTGAAAATTATTCATGGGGATGAGAGGACTCAATATGAAAAGCTGCTAGATTATAGGTTAGAGTTGTTGAGGACAAATCCTGGGTCTACAATACTCTTGAAAAGGAATGAGGGGGTTTTTAAGGGTATTTACATTTGCTTGGAACCTTTGAAGAGAGGATTCAAAGCACACTGCAGGCCACTGGTGTGCTTGGATGGTTGTTTTCTTAAGACAAACTATGGGGGCCAACTGTTAACTGCTGTGGGCATAGATCCTAATGACTGTATCTTCCCCTTAGCTTATGCAGTGTGTGAGGTTGAAGACTCTGAAAATTGGCAATGGTTCTTAAGACTGCTTGGTGATGACTTGGACCTTCATAGAGATAGTGTCTTCTGCTTTATGAGTGACAAACAGAAGGTATGATAACATTATAAACTTATTTGTATTATGTATAGAATATTGTCTTATGCTTGATTACTGACCTCATATTAATATTCCAGGGTCTTGTAGGCGGAATTGCTAGTTTATTCTCAAAAGCAGAGCATAGGATGTGTGTGAGACACTTATATAACTTGTGTGAGTCATTCAACAAGTACATTTTAGATG